TAATAGATATATTCAGTTTTAGTTGACATAGTTACACTGATGAGATGTGTTTAACTTTGATATAGGTTGTTGTGATAATTATTTTGACTTTAATCTCCAGAACTATAGTTAAAAGTACTTTATGTAGCTAGTCCGAATTTTTCGTTATAATAAATTGGACCCCCACACAAAACTTAATAAAAACATTTTTTTCCTTTGCATAAACATAATGTTGGGCTCTGAAAAATATTCACTAAATCAATATATCAAAAGCAAACAAAAACAAAAATGCACAAACAGTCAAACAAGCATACACGTAGAGTGATTTCATCTTTATACTGTTTAGGAGTTACTATATAAAATAAAAATAAATACGTTTCGTTAGACATCAGCAATCTCTTGACTTAGTTTGTATCATCAGCATAATGGCAGCAGATTTTTAGAGGTGGTAATAAAGTGAATCTTTCTAACAGTAGGTCCACAATAAAACACGAAAAGTGCGTTAACGGCCGATAAAATTGTGTTTACTGTATACGGCTGAGGCCATCAGGTCAGGTTCGGGGCATTGTTTAAATTTATTGATATCACCCATCTTTAGTATGTGAGAAGAAAGAAAATATAAAAAGGGGGAACCCCCTCAAAATACATATTATACTAACGACTTACCCACGTTTCAGTCGGGTGAGTCTGTATATGCCTAACAGTAGGTGGTAAGTAAGAGTATGTTACTCCAGTTCTTACCTGTGTGCTAAATTTCATCTAAATGCGCCCAGTCGTTTGTGCTAAAGCGTATAAAATATACACAGGCGTACAGGCTTTCGCTTTTATAGCATATATAGTCGGATAAAATAGTATATTTTCGGAAAATATGTCCAAATATACCGGGTAAAGCCTATTTCCAAGTCGTTACGATGTTACATGTAAAAATTTTACGATCTTGTACTTAGTTGTGCCTCCCATAAAAACATATCTTAAACATGAACCCAAAGTTTTGTTCAAACATAAAATAATAAATTCTTATACAGGAATAAACAAGAAAATGAATATTGAATTTCAATATTACCTATATGGAAGTTATGTAATCGTACATACAAAAACCTTGGGCTATTAAATTGAAATATGCAGGGACTGAACAGTAATAGTCTAAAGGTTTCTTTTTCTGTATTCTTATTTTTGTTACGTATTTGTCTTACAGCTGATTAAGACTTGTCGGAATATATTGCGGCGTATTTAACTTTCAGAAGTCGTTGGATCAAATCTCTATACCTATATAAATTTATAAAAAATTAAGTAAATGAATCTATGTGTAGTTATAACATATCCGTATTAATATTATAAATGCCAAAATAACTCTGTCTGACTGTCTGTCTGTTACATTTCCACCTTAACCCGCTGAAGCGATAGAGTTAGTTCGAGACCGTGGAAAGGACATAGGATAGTTGTTATCTAGGAAATCATCCCTTAAGGAATCCCTTAAGGGGGTAAAAACTCCTTTTTAAGGTGGAAGTTTGTACGGGAAATCAATCATTTCTCAAGTGAGGGATAAAAAAGTTTACGAGAAGGTACTTAAAGTACTTTAAAAAATAAATGAAAACCTAAAATAGGTAATACCTACTTTTCTATACCTATGTACATATACATACATACATTATAGTCTATCTATTCCATACTACGCGTAAAAACGTAACTAGGGACGTACACGAGCGGAACGAGGATGAGCAGCTAGTTCTTTCTTATAATAATTTCTGAAAGCTTAATTTACAAAAAACTTTTTAACAAAAAAATAAAAACCGACTTCAAACAAAAGCACTAAAAAGTAAAAAAATAACTGATTGGTAGTTTTCATTTACTATACATACCTAATCAAATATTTTCGAAGTCGGTGTGCTTTGCTTTGTATGGGCTGGCACCGATTTCGAAAATATTTGATTAGGTATGTATTTAATAGGTAGGCTTTAATTACTTAGCCAAAGCACACCGACTTCGAAAATATTTGAGTAGGTATGTATAGTAAATGAAAACTACCAATCAGTTATTTTTTACTTTTTAGTGCTTTTGTTTGAAGTCGGTTTTTATTTTTTGTTAAAAAGTTTTTATTTTTCCCTTTTTAGTGTAGACAGTAGTAGCAAAGTAAGGATTCTAACGTGTTAGGCTTGTCAAATCAAACAAAATAAGCCCAAACTCAAAGTATCTACTATTAGCCGTTGAAGAGTTCCACCTATCCACCTTCTGGCCTTGCCATCAGATCAGGTCAACAACACCGAACCACTGTACTATCAACGGAAATAGAAATACTTGCAAAGTTTCAAGTCAATATGACAATTAGAAGTAGGTTAAATTCATCATTACTTGTTTTTCCACCCTTAGGGGTGGTATTTTTTTTTGAAATTAAAATGGGACCAATCTGAAAGTATACTTTTTCCAACAAAACAAAAATTGTCCAAATTGGTTAATAAATGACGGAGTTCTGAGGTAACAAACATAAAAAAAAACATGCAGTCGAATTGAGAACCTCCTCCTTTTTGAAGTCGGTTGAAAATTTATTTTTATGAAAAAGACGGTCAATATAAAAAGTGGCAGGATAACAAACTTGGCAGTTATGACACACTTTTAACAAGAAAACCAACTATGAATCTACAAGTTACATTCATCTCAGAAAATGGGTATATGTCAATATTTTAATAGTAAAGAAGCTATTTTTCTTCGCCAATTTGAAACTTGCATCACAGACGAGTCTCAACCAGCTTTCAATCTCTTAAAACCTAAAGTACGATGCTAACATATTTACTTTTCTTATCTTTTAAAACTTTACCATAGTTCGCACTCGCTTCGCAAACTTTGAAACAGTAAAATGAACTCTAAAGTTGAGAAGGCCAAGATAATAATTTTTCAAATTGTATTATTACGCCAAGTATCCACTTTCGAGATTCCAGATATTTTTAATGAAGGACCCAGTTCTTGTAGAGTTTTCATAAAAACTTTTTAGAGCTGGTAAGAGAAAATTTATGGCAAACGTGATGGCAACTTTTTAAACTTAGATTATATAACTAGGCTTTATGGAGGCGGTCAGCCATCGTTTTTGTTAAAGTTAAATTCAATCAAAAGTAAATTTACTTTATTTTGAAGTAGGGTTTGCATTTGATTGTTTTTTACAGAAATTATCCAATTAGTATTTTTTTGTTCAAGTTGAAATAAAAAAGTGCAGGCTGTAATCGTACGTCTGATATTATGACTGCAGTGCAAAATCAAAAGTTTCTATCTATTCTGTAACGCAAAAATTCTAACAAGCCCAAGAAAATCAAATTAATAATTATACATACACTACCTGTGCCCCGCAGTTTTACTGCTCCGCTTCCTTGGGCATTATGATATATACTCTATTACCTTCCTCAATAAATGGGCTCTCTAATGTAAAAAGAATTTTTTAAATCGGATTAGTAGTTCCTGAGATTAGCACGTTCAAACAAACAAACTCTGATTCTTTATAATATTAGTATAAATATATACCTTCAGTTCAAAAACAAAGCTTAGGTACTTTTTCTAATACGAATATTCTAAAACCCAAAAAAATTAAATAATATATTTACGAAGAAACCTGATTTTTTTTACTTATTCGAATAAAATTGGGGACCTATCTTGATAAAGTATGTCGCCTTTTGTTAAAGTTTGTTCGACTGTAAGATAATTATTAAGCCAATAAGCATCAAAGCTTTCTCATTTATAATATAAATTGTATAAGGTAAATAAGTTCCCGAATTGTATATACGTAATGTAAATATTATTTAGCAGTGGAAAGGAATACTCTCAGGTGTTTTCAAATATTCATGAGGTCTATTGAATTGAAAGCTAAGGATTCTTATAAAAGGCAATCATTAAAATGGAGTGCCTCAACCATTTGCTGCTATGAATCAAGCATTACCTATTATATCTTGTTCCTAAGAGAGTTTATCCTACCGCGAGGAGTAAATATTGGTTTTTAATGGTGTAATTATGTTATTTTAATTTTATTGAATACTAATTTTTATTAATGACTTCGATCTCGAGTAGATGAGTTGACACAAAGTGAGCCTTTTTTTTTAACGTTGGGAAATGCATTTACGCACGAAGTGTGGGACTCACCGGCGAAGCCAGTACTACCCACTAAAACCCAACAAAACCTTCCCCCGTCTTAATGGGGCATCGCAGGATCGCTAACGCATTCAACTACGACGCCCCGACGGCAGGTCTGCCGAAGCAGACCACAACAACCACGGGGTTGCTCCACGGTCCACTCTGCTATCAGAGAAGTACCAGGAGCAACCCGCATGGTACACCACCCTCCGAAGAAGGCCGCCTCCCACCGCCCACCGAAGCGGGCCACCTCCCTGTGCGTTTCTTGGCTTCGCGAGTACACTACTGAGCCCCCCCACCACGACAAGGTGAACACACGTTGGGGGGGATACAAAGTGAGCCTGTGCTAATCAAAGATAACTAGTTATTTATGAGCTATCTGCATTTCGATGTCATTTAAAACAATTCAGCGGATATAGAATCATATAAATATATTCATATAATTATTCTACTCGTTCTATAAGAATGGAGATCGTGCTAAGTGTTTCTAAAGTAAATAGAATATTTATTACAATTGCGAGCAAAGCACAGAAAGTGTATAGTACGTATTAAATACTTCTCAAAATCACTTCAAATTTAATTATTCAAAAAATAGAATTTTAAGACCAATTTTTGGCCATTCATAAGTAAATCCTATTAATTTAAAAAATCAAAAAATCTGTTCACAAATATATCACTTAACAAACAATAAAACTTACGCTCAGACTATCCCGATGTTTCGAATGCTTTACAGCAAATATGGGCACGAAAACTACGAGTCTCTCTTCACCATGTTTGCTGTAAAGCTGTCGAATCGTTGGTGGCTAAAATATTTGAAAAACCGTGATAGAATCCGAAAAAATGGTTTCATTTAAAATATCAAATGTTTACGTAAATCGAAGAAAGTATTAGGTATATAAAGCTTTACTTACATCAACATCAATTCCGGGTTGAGCAAAGATCCTGGTAAAAGGATATTCTTTAGGCAGGTAACTGAAAAATTCCTTCCGCCCCCTATACCACTTAACACTGTACAGGGTCTCATTGCCCTCGAGCGTCCATTTACAGCCAAGAAGCACTGTCTCACCTAACCGCACCGCGGAAGGTGCGATCAGCTGCACATCTCTTAGAGCTATAGTATCTGAAACAATAAAAAAAAAATTATGCGAAAAATTTAAACTTTTATATATAAGAACATATGAGAAAAACTGTTTTACTATTGTAGGATGCCAAATAAAACTTCGAGATATTCCTTGTTTATATTCTTATATTCAGTAATTTTATAATCGTCAGTGAGTTACGTAATTAATAACCATAATTTTCAGTATTACAAACAATTCGTGACTAGTCACTACATGAGGGTGGTACCGACATCTCTGTGCAAAAGCGCGGGAAAACAAATGAATATCCGCGCTTTTATTTTTTTTTAAAACACATTCCTATCGGCCAAGGTCATATAAGAAAATAACTTATACATAAATCATTACAAATTAAACAAATATATTATTTTCTATTAAAACGCTCAATATAATTATGTTTGTCTATATCAAATAAGTAAAACATATTCAAATAATAAAAATTGAGTCCTTAAATAAATTTGGTGCGTAGGTCATACAACCTATTTTTTTTATTAGATATAAGACGTAGTGTATATTTTTTCTTTTTTTTAATTCACCTAATGTCACTCCATAGTACACAAAGAGTATTGCCTTACAATTATAGATTTAGATATATTATCTTGTTTTATGTTATTTATGTATGTATGTAAATAAAAAATATATTTAAAAAACAAATATTATAGCATAAACATTTAGCAAAAATATAATTGCGATCAGATTCGAACGAGATTCCAGAATTGTCATCCACTTTACAGTACAATTTCATCAGTATTTACCCAAACTAAGATAAAAGTCCGCAAACCAGCAATCAATTTCACTCGCCTAGCTTACAAAAACATTTGTCCCGGCATCGTATTTTCCTTTTACCGCCATCAGTGGACGTATATTAGTAGGATTTTCGTGTGCCGAGTGCAAGCGGATTAAAATGTTTCTTTTTTTTTTGGGTTACCACCTTTTCATCTGTCAAGAGCATGTATTCTAGTACAGCTTTTCAGTATGCAATATAAAATGTTGGGTAAACATTTTAGTAGTTTTATTATAAAATATATATTATTTATATTATATATAGTACCTGGGCTACCGAGCTTTGCTTCGCAAAAAACAATTTTATTATATATATAGATTGAACACATATTCTTAAATAAGAAAATGAGTTCAATTAAAATTTATTCAGATCAGTTTTACTCGATTAAGCAAAGAATTATAATATCTAAATGCATTTTTTTAACTATTAACCTTCTATTCCCTTCCAAACAACTCTCACAATTTTTACGTACAAACTTGACCCCGTTCTTACACTTTAAATATGTAATCTAACCTATATACTTCTAATTTTCTCCGCGTTTAACTTTAATAGCGCCTGTAATGAGAGGTTATATTTTTTCATTGAAGCTGTAAGCTGAGCTTAAGTGCAAGCTAAAAGCTGTAAAAATAATATTAAAATATAAAACTTTTGCAAAATTAATCAAAATTACTGGTTTTAACTAGTATAAAATTCAGTAACTTAATGACTTAAACTTAAACGTTTAAGTTTTACTTAAGACTTTAGGTTATACCAAATAATAAAAAAAACATATGTTGGGGCATTAACGCACAGCATCATCTAGTCCCATGGTAAGTAAGGTACGAGGCCTGTGTTATGGATACCAGATAGTTGATACACAACACATATATAACTTTAAATACATACATATTATAAATATAAACACCCATGACTGGAGTACAAACATTCGTGCTCATCATGCAAATGAAAGCCCCCAGCTGGACTCGAACCCGCGATCGCTGGCACAACAAGTAGGATCACTACAAACTGAGCCAAAAGTGTCGTCAAATAATATACCATAAGAAAGATCTAGAACATTTTTAACAACAACTAACAAAATACGCCACTATTGACTTGACATTTGCAACAACTCTTAATAAATTACATGGTACAAAACTATATCGTAGATAAAAAGCCAAGAGTTAGTGGAACTTGTAATGAGTTTAAAAGTAACGAACGACTTTAGCTTTTCTTTGTAGAAGTATTCTCAAGTCCACTGTTCGCAGACTTGCGGTTCGGAGCGGAACTGTCGAGTAGTTAAGAAAACAATCGTTTAACATTAAAATGATAGACGTAAATTATTTTAAGCAACGGTATTAAATTCGTAGGACATTTAGAGCACGCTCGCTTTGTAAAATACAGAGTCACACCCAAAGTTTCAATTTTTCACCTTGAAATTGATTGTAAATATGATCTATACATATCTATCTATATCTATATCTATTCTATATTTTTTTCTATAATAAATCTGTAGAGAGGTCAATTCTGTACATGAAATATATTTCCAAAATAACTATCAGGGGGTGATTAGGGATCGATACTGATGCCAAAAATGCAATCAGTAAAATTTTTGTCTGTCTGTATAACCGTTATAGAAACAAAAACTACTCGACGGATTTTAACGAAACTTGGTACAATTATTTTTCATACTCCTGAGCTGGTTAAAGTATACTTTTCATCACGCTACAATCAATAGGAGCAGAGCAGTGAAGGGAAATGTTGGGAAAACGGGAGAAGTTACTCCATTTTTTAAGCTTCCGTCGCGTGTGCAACCTTAATGGTTAAAGCTACACAGAAATCATGTATGACGGAAATTTTCTCCTTAAAATTATATAAAAAATATCTCACGACAGCATATGTCTATCTTTTATGGTTGACTCACAATAACACGTGTAACTCCCGATACCTTAGCAGTTCGAAGCTTTCTGATTTATATTTGTTTACTCTTACGTTTATAATTGGTAAGGAGATAGTATGAGACCCTGGGAAGGATATGGGATACTTTTTATCGCGGAAATCATTCCTTAAGGGGGTGAAAATGGGGATGAAAGTTTTTATGGGGTGATCCTAGGGACGAACCCGAGCGAAGCGAGGGTGAGTCGCTAGTACCTAATAAAAATGTAACTGATCGCTGTCTGTACATGGAAGATATTTGAGAAAAACTATTATCGGTATTTATTAGTTGAGTGTTAAGGTATTCATTAGAGCAATAGAACCCAAAACAATGATTAATTGATTTTTTGTTTAATTGTCTGTGCGTTTGTGCGCACTAATCTCAGAAACGACTTAACGGATTTGGGTGCAGTTTCACTAATTTATTGTGGTAAGCTTCATTTAAACATTAAGTATTTGTTTTATTTCAATCGGTTCATATATAAAAAATATGTTAATTTAAAGAATCACCAATATAATTTCCGGGTTAGTTAAGTATAATATTGTAAAGAAACTTGCTTTTCTGAGAGTATCTATAAAGTTTTTTTTTAAACGTGTTGGTTGAGCTGCTTTGGCTGTAGACCAACATATTTTCTCATATCCTGATACCGGCAGTGGGCTGTTAAAAAGGGCTGAATTAATTATTATATTCATTTATGTTAAATTAATAGCAGTGGTATACGTCATAGAGGCAGATTCAAGTACTGAACAAACGATTTGTTAAAATAAATTAAATATATATATATTTTTTAATTAATGTCTTATCTCTTTTCTCATATTCTCTATATTCTTTATAAAGAAATTTTAATTTAGGTAATTAAATAAATTTAGACTATACTCAGTGTTATAAATAAAAACATTAAAAAACCGACTTCCAGGCACTAAAATGTAAAAAATAACTAAACGGGGGTTTTCATTTAGAATAAATACCTAATCACATATTTTCGAAGTCGGTGCCAGCCGACAATATTTTAAGATATGAATATCTAATAGGTAAATATGATTTGGTATGAGCTCTAATTGTAGTTAAAATATTATACATCAATTTGTGATGTATTTTAGGCATCGAAATATATTAGATTTGCTTTGCATCGGCTGGGAAGGTGGACCACCTGAGAAGTATACCCTTTGAAACAAAAATATCCAAATCGGTTCAGGCATCTTCGAGTAATCGGTAAACAGGCATAAAAAAAAACAAAAGACGAACGACGAATTGAGAACCTTCTCCTTTTTGGAAGTCAGTTAAAAATAGACAAAAGTACGAACTAAATGCATATAATATATACTTTGTCTTTAGAATCGTGTCACCAAAGAGAGGCTAAGAACAATCTAAAAATACTTCCTCGAACTGTTCATCTCTAAATTGCAGGTATTAAATTTCGTCATTTTAGCGCGTTTTCCCTATATATATACGGCAATGTAAATGTATGGTATTCACCCACTTATCGAAAATTAGACTTAATTATGCTTTGCTAGCAATACTGAGGTCGCTTAACCGCATACCAGATTTTGTTGCTATGATTCAACCGATTATATATTATTACTAGCGACTCACCCTCGCTCCGCTTGGATTCGACCCTACTTACCTTTTAACGTTTAGTATAGATTTCTCAGAGATGAGATATTTTCCCGCAGTAAAAAGTATCCTATATATTGACCCGGATAACCATCTATCATCATACCAAATTTCATCAAAATCCCTCCAGTGGTTTTTCGTAATGCGGTCACAGACAGACAGATAGACAAACAAATCTAAAAACTATAGATTCGGCCTCTGTATCGATAATAATGTTTATTTCAATAAGATTTTCCAAAAAATATTTAATGTACAGATTCGGCTTAGTTACAATTTTATTATATGTATAGATTTACGAGTATTTTACGAATTAAAATAGTTAATTAATTTTATTATATAGATATATACCTCTCCACAAATTTTATGCAACAAAAAAATCTCTCAGTGTTAAATTTTATAGCTATCATTAAGCATACATTTTTCATAAACGATACTTGGCGCCATTATTATTCACTTATCATGTACTTAAAACTTTTTAACGTTCTCTTAAACGGCTCAAATTACTGTCCATTTTTAACTACCATCAATTATAATTCCTTTTTATTTAATTCATTTGATATCTATTAAGTGCCATTCTTAGAATTGAGACAGTGAAAAATTAATATTTTATTATGACGACACGTTTGGTTTAGTTTGTAATGAACCTACTTGTTGTGCCAGCGGTCGTGAGTTCGAGTCTCGCTGGGAGCATTCATTTGTGTGATGAGCTCGAATGTTTGTATTCCAATCATGGGTGTTTATATTTATAACTAGCATTGCCCGCGGCTCCGCCCGCGTTCAGATGATCAAATACCAAATTCTAAGGTTTTACATATTAATATACTCTTACATTGCAGTTTTTGTATTTTTTCTCAGAAATTAGATATTTTTCCGTGGTAAAAAGTATCCTATATGTTGACCCAAATAACCGGCTAACACCATACCAAATTTCATCCAAATCCCTCCAGTGGTTTTTCTGTGATGCGGTAACAGACAGACAGACACAAAATTCTAAATACTATAGATTCGGCCTCCGTACCGATATTAATGTTAATTACAATAAGATTTTCCAAAAAATATTTAATGTACAGATTTGGCTTAGTTACAATTTTATTATATGTATAGATAGATATGTATGTATTTAAAAGTTATATATCAACTATCTGGTATCCATAATACAAGCCTCGTAACTTACCATGGAACTAGATGGTGCTGTGCTATATGTCCTAACATATTTTTTATATTAGTGATTGGAAAAATTTTGCTATTTCTACTGTGGCGGAGACAGCAGATTTACAAAGGCAAAAATATATAAAAAAATATTTATTGTTAGTGTCGGTTGTGTAGAAAATGTTAGAATATTATTATCTCCCTCAGTTGTATATGTACGTAAAAGGTGAAAAATGAAACATATAACACAAAAAACCATTTCTCTGACAGCTATATCAGTTATATTTTGTAACTTTCGATGAGAATTCGAAACATCATAGAAACGGGTAAGAAAAGAGCTATGTATCGACATAACCCTCGAGTGAAAGGGTAAATAGCACAAAAATCGACTTCAATACGTCCGAAATCAAGCGCAGCCACGTCCATTACTGGAATAGGCCGGTCGGACCGATACCAAACCAATTATGCTTTCTATAAATTTCGACTGAATTTTGCTTGCGTTCAGAATAACGACGTTTCGCGTTCCTTTTTTGTACAAATTTAATTTCCACCCAAATTGCTTTATAGGAAAATAAATATTTTTACAAAGAAATATTTTATAAAATTTACCTATTCGTATAATTTGTAGATAACCGTTTTCGCATTGAACAGTGGTCTGCCTGGCAGTTTTTACTGCTTCGGTGATCACGGATTCTATTATCGGTTTGAGTATATTGACCATTCAGGTTTTTTTGTTTAATGTAAAACATATAAAATTACTATTGAAAAATTTCTCTATGTGTATTGAAAAATGTTATTAAGCTATTTCTTTGTTATTATTTTAATAACATTTAATTTGTATATATTTAACCATAAATAAATTAGAACTATCTTTTAGTTGACTTTCAGTGAATTTCTTGAAGCATTTTTCATACAACATAACATCAAATTGCCATAAATATTTAAATATTTTCAATATTTTAAATATTATAATACATAGAGTCCCTTGTAGAGAGCAATATTGTCATACCTAACTCGGTGGTTTACAATCTGTATGAACATTTTAGATCAAATACCAATATTATCCGTTAGAAATTTTATTAAGCTCCCAAGCTCGCTTACATTAGAGCTGTTAAATTGCAATTGTCTCGTTTGGGATTTTTATTGCATTCAATAACTAACTGTTATCCACGACTCTGTTCGTGCAGTTTATATTTTTTATAATTGTTTTATTTATAAACTATGTTACATCGACTATAAAGTTTATGATGATTTTTGCCTCTTAGGCTTGTGCAAATCGGCAGATTATTAAATTGGACACTTTGCAGGATGTGACTAGCCTACCACACCTTAATCTGACGGTTTCAAGTATTTCTACCTTATCAAAACATTTTTTAAATATTTTAATCGGCTTCCCTAGACGCGCCCCTTTATATAGATATATTGCGGTGCCTTTTGCCCTTATATTGTGGTGAAAGTACTCAATAGAGTGCAAGGTAACCTCTTTTATGTTAATCTGCCGCGCTTGAGTAACTACAGAAAATCCCCTCTTGGGCTCCCCTACTATTAGTTATACCATTTATAACTTAAGAACTACTGGACCGATTTTTATGATCTTTGATTTTTTGGTTTATCACCCTTCTAAATTGCTATTTGGAATAACTTTAAAAACATCGGAAAAATTCACGAAAAAAAATTAATATGTACATGGCGAAGGCTGGCTAATAACTAGGTATATCTTTTTAAAACGCACCTAGGGACGTACCCGAAAAAATATAAAAATAAAAAACCCGACTGCATCAAAGGTAACTAAAAAGATGTAAACAAGTTTACGAAGGAATATAGTATTATGCAGTCGGAGACATACACGTTTCATCCTTGCCGCGACATGTACAATTGTACACTCGTATGTATGTCTCCGTGTATATTCCTATATTCCTTACTTATAGGATACTATATTCCTTCGTGAACTTGTTTTCATCTGCATAATAGCTAACTAAAAGTTAGCTTTTATGCAGTCGGGTTTTTTATTTTTATAATATATTTTTGTATTTATAGCTTTTTACTTTTTGCCAATTAGACATTTGAAGTAAAGTAAATAAATGTGGTTTTAATTATCATTATTTTAAGTAATACATATGTATAATCTTTATGGAATCCTTGCCCTTTAATTTGATAGGTACCCATATTGCAGAAAAAGAAGATAAAAAAATTCACCTTAAACAATGAAATCTAGGAGCCGCCATTTTTTACGTCACCTATCTAAGAACACTTGGACTAATTATACAAATCTAACGATACCTTAATTGAAGAAATCCATCGAGTAGTTTGGGAGATATAAGGGAATAAATAATATTACAAACATACAAAGATAGGCGTGAAAAACATAACCCTTTTCTTGCAGTCGGGTAAAAAAGAGAGGGTAAGTCGCTAGTTTAAAATAATATTAATTATTCATATTCATTATAAATAAAATGAAACTGACGTCAAGGAACTTTGATAAGGGTCAATAAACGGTAACAGATTACGCTTAAAGCAGGTAATTATTACCTTATATTTCTGTTTTAATCACGTTTTCAAAGGCCCCTTTCGAATTTTATTTATAACGCGTTAAAGTTTCTTCTACTCGTAATATTAATTCTATTATTTCTATTTAAAATTAAGTAGTACATGTTTGTATTTTATTTATGGCCTTGAACCAAAAAACTTAAAATTAAAAACTGAAAAATACCACCATTTTGTGACAATCCTTTTTTCTATTAATAAAAGCCAAATACCAATACAAAATATTCAAAATATTTTATTTAGCATTAAATTATTATATTTTTTTACTGAATGTCAGGAGTCTACTACCAGTTCGGAAAGAAGAAGCCTCAGACCTGAGAAGAATTGATGAAAGAAACTCAGCTGGACTAATATTATTTCGTTATCTTTTTTGTAACTTAAATTATAATTTACAATATTTCTATAAAGTTGAAGATTAATCATGAAATCTCGAAAACTACTTGGCCTATGAAGTTGAAATGTAGCAGGTGGGTTAAAATTTATAGGTAGGAGAAAACACTTAAGAACAGATTTTGCAAGATTTTGTAGAAAGTCATATATTTTTATTGCTAGAGTTTACACATAAATCATACATTTATATAATACATTAGCGTCCGGCAACTCAGCCGGGCGTGAAGTCCAGAGTTACACTGGGAGGTAGTTTGCTTCGGTGGACGGTGTACCATGTTGCTTCTGGTACTTTTCTGATAGCAGAGTGACCCGTAGGAGCAACCCCTTGGTTTTTGTAGTCTGCTTCGAAGGATTTAACGTCGAAGCACAGTTGAGTGCGTAAGCGGTCCTGCAGCATCTCATTAAGACGAGGGTGGTTCCGTTGGGTTTTAATGGGTAGTACTGGCTTTTCTAGCCGGTGAATCCCACATACTCGTAACCACATGTATGTATATAGGTGGCAAGTTAAATAAATGTATTTCCCAATGTTAACAAAAGGATAAAATAATTAATAAATGTTATTAGGACATTAATAAACAGCACCATCTAGTCCCATGATAAGCTAAAGTTGATACACTACACAAGTTTAACTTTAAATACGTATATATTATAAATATAAACACCCACGACTGGAATACAAACATTCGTGCTCATCACACAAGTGAATGCCCACCGCCGGACCTAAACCCACGACCGCTGGTACAGCAAATACACTACAAACTGAGTCATACTTATCGTCGTATACAAAATTATGTGGTTTATAGGTACATTTACACTGTAATAATCAACATAAAAACATAAGTATTAAGTTACGTTTATTACATTTCAAATAGATTGATCTCGGTCGGTGTGATATTAGAGTAAGAAGTGTCAATTCAACCACAGTACACCTCATTGAATCAATGTAGGCCAAACTTTGCCATTGGGGACTATTTCGGACGTCCTCAAACAATTTAACTCCTTCTGTTTCCAAACTGAACACTTGCGCCTAATAAAACCGCAATTCGTATTCGTAGTATTTGGATAGATGGCTAACATTTTCAAAGCGACTGTTTTAAGAATACCCACCTCTTCCCCCGTATTGTATTAAAATCAGTACTCTAAAGGGAGGTTTTCAAAAGCTCACGGTTCACAAAATAATGGTCCTTTCATATCCCTAGTTTGTTTGTCATCGTACTATAGTCGGAATTTTAAAAATTTAAATTGAACTCGCAAAAGCTCGTATTCATACCCTTTGACTTTACATTCAATTTTTTTGCAGTTAGATTTATTGCAGTTTCTAAATAAGTAAACTATTTGAAAAATAAAGTAAAGGAGTTGTACGAGTAAAACAATTTACGAACTTTTACAAAAAAAAATCTATTACTCGTTGTGATTTTGAAAATTGAATGCAATGCATTATAATCAATACATATAATAAAATTTTAACTATTAATATTGAACCTGTACCTACATGTAATATTTTTTGGAAAATCTTCTCGAAATAGACATTATTATCGATACAGAGGCTGAATCTATAGTTTTAAGAATTTTTGACTGTCTGTCTGTGACCGCATCACGGAAAAGCCACTAGAGGGATTTTCATGAAATTTGGTGTAATGATAGCTGGTTACTCGGGTCAACATATAGAATATCTTTTATTGCGGGAAAATATCTCATTTCTGAGAAATTTATACTAAACGTTAAAACGTAAGTATGGATGAACCCAAGCGGAGCGGGGGTGAGTCGCTAGTATATCATAAATATGAGATGAATTTAATTCCTTATGTGACAAAAAAATGAATGTTATTATATAAATATCTATCTGCCTCCCTATATATAATAATAATACGTCTAATAGTAGTTTTCAATAACCTATCTGAAGTTTTCCTATGACATAAGCTTGCCTATCTCAAATTCCTGCCGATAAAAAGAAAAAACTTTTAAAAAAATAAATTTATTTTATAAAAGGGTTATATATTATACTTGGTATTGCCTGCAGCCTTGCTTTTTTTTTGAAAAAGCACGAAACTGGTGTTTATTTATTTATTTATTTATTGACTCTATACAGATTTCTAGGAAATATAAAAATGCAATCGAAAATCGCTTATATTTAACTAGGAATAAGGACATGACAATCAATGTCTTACCTCATGCCTTTACACGTAAATAAAATTTTAAGCCTCAGAATAATACAACATTACTATGCCATAATAGTACGTGGATGATGATTTATGTCTTTTTTTTTGTGAAAAATTGCGTTTTTTCAGAAAAGACACCTATATAGCTAAGCTTAAAAAACAAAACCTTATCTAAATACAAAATTTAATCCAAATACTTTGAGATGTTATACACGCATGCCGAGATATCTATACATATAAAACTATAGAGGTCGAATGTCTGGACATGGTAAAAATGCTAAAAACTGAGTTAAAGAGATGTAAGAAAAGAAATAGAAGAAATCCAGATTTTTCAATTTTTTGTTTCTCTGTCTGTTTGCCTGTTTGTACAGGCTAATATCCGAAACTTTTGAACCAATTTAAATAAAATTTGGCATGGTCGTACTTTATATCTTCGGTCCACATTTTGGATACTTTTCATCGTGAAAAATTAGACTTCCCGTGAGATAGTTAAAAAGCTATAGTAACTTATACAGTTTAGTACACAACAACTTGTGCACCTAATTTAGTAAAATTTGGCATGCTTATACCTCATATTGCCGGTCAAAGAACAGGTTACTTTTAATCCTGGAAAAATGAGTGGTTCCCG